TATAGCGGATCATTTACTGCAAGTCGATGAGAGTTTTGAAGCCTGGTTATCGGATTTACTCAAGCAATTTGATAAAGACAAACAACTGAGATATCTTGCGATTTGTTTGTGCTTTTGGACTAGAAGGAATGATTGGGTGTGGAGTAAAAAAGTCTGGTCGTTAGATGGTTTTAAATGGATGGTGGAGAATTGTTTGGTGGATTGGCAAATTTCTGGAGATATGGTGGTTGTTAACCTCCCTCATGCACCAGCAGTTCTGGATTCCCATGCAGGTATTTCAGCTTCGACGGTAGTTGTAGAAGTTGATGCATGTATTCCACAAAACACGAACTCAGGTTTCTATGGTATTGTTGTTTTAACTAACAGTGGTAGTTTTGTGGCTACAAAGGCTGGCCGACCCGTTCGTTGTTTAAATGATCCCCATCTTGTTGAGGCGATTGCAATGAAGGAGGCTCTATCTTGGATCCTTGAACAAGGTTGGCGTAATGTGGTGGTTCGATCAGATTGCCAGTTGGTTTACAAATTTCTCAATCACGATTTCAAGGATTATTCATATGCGGGTTGTGTTTTAAGGCATTATCAAAATCTCAAATCACACTTTGAATCAGTGTCTATGAAGTATGTTTCTCGATCAGTGAATAAGTGTGCTCGTGCTTTAGATAGGGCTGCAAGTTCTCAATATGGTCATTTTAGTTGGTTTTCTTCAATTCCCTTTTGTATTGAACATTTAATTTACTGAAGTTAATGATATTGGTTTGATTTTCAAAAAAAAAAATGATTCACAAAAAAGTAGACTTAAAAATATTTAATTTATTGAAGGATTGCAATGGTTAAAATAAAGAAAAAAAAAATAAAACTACTATAGGATTGGAAGGGCTAAAAATACAAAAAAAAAAAAAAAATACAAAAAAAAAAAAAAACTATTCATGGGAATTGATTTCCTGACCTACCATAACAAATCCAAGGTTTTAACCAACTAGGTGACTAAAGCCTTTAAAAATTCCTATAGGTAGGTGACTAAAAGGTTAGGGAGGGGTCAGTGGGGGCAGCATCCCCCACTACCCTCATTGTAGATCCGCCATTATATATAAGCACTAGTTTTTTTACGCGCTTTGCATGAATGGGACAATGCCGAGTGATTATTTTTAAATAAGTATTTTAAAGTATATCAATGCAATATTATATAGGAGATGTTTATGCATAGGTAAATAAATGTTGAATTTGTTTATTTAAATCGGTAATTTAAAGTATATAAATTCAAGATAATATATGAGAGGTTGATTATAATTGTCACTAAAATAAATGTTTGCAACTTTGTAATAACACTAGTCTAAATACTTAGTCTTAAAGCGATAGTTTAAATAAATACTACTTTTGGTTTAATTTTCTCTAATTCTTCTTACAGCTCGTTTGGTTCGCTAGAAAATATTTGAAGGGAAATTGAATTGAAATTCCATGGAAAATAAATTCCAAGAAAATAGATTTCATTGTTTGGTTGGTGGAAAAGAAATTACTGGGAATATGAATTCCATTGTTTGGTTGAGTTTGAAATGGTAAGGAATAATGAGTATAATGACAAATATACTACACAACAATAATAATAATAATATAATAATAATAATAATAAGAGTAATTAATAAAGAATGGTGAGGGTAAAATTGTCATATTAGTTTTACATGGAAAACAAAATACCTAGGATGAGGTAGGAATTGGTTTTCCTCATTTTTAAGGAAAAAATTTTCAATGGAAAATGTTTTCCATCCAACCAAACAACATAAAACATAATTTTCCTTCACTTTTAGGAAAACATTTTCCATGAAAAATGTTTTCCATCCAACCAAACACCCCCTTAATTCTCTTTTGGGTAACATTGTCATTGTTTTCATCTTCAGTACATGTCCTCTTTTTATTATTATTATTATTATTATTATTATTATTATTATTATTATTATTATTATTATTATTATTATTATTATTATTATTATTATTATTATTATTATTATTATTATTATTATTATTATTATTATTAGTGTGTCATGTGCAATTAGGTTACTGGTGGCAGCATAGAATGATTCATCATGTAATGAGATTATGGTGTATGAAGCTTTATATTTGTCTTGTTGTGTATATGACTGAGATTTTAGTTGTAATATGAACTCTTTATTTTACAAACACCTATTGATATTTAGTAGTGATAGTTTTCTCCCTACAAGTTTCATGTGAAATTTGTGTCATAGGTTATCATGTGAAAGTATTGAATAAAATATTAATATTTATTATATTTGTATAAAATACTTGGTATATATATATATAGATTATTGGCTCTTATTAGATTTATATTGTATATAGATTAATGAGTATATTAAGAATAATAAATACTCCGTAGTTAACAGAATATTCCGTTACTAAAGTTTATACTAGCGGAATTTAGGGTTATTTAAGGAAAGAAAATAATATAATAGATGGTAAATAAGGGAAATCATTCAAAAAAATACTAAAATCAAAATAATATGAAGCATTCATTTTAAGAAACAACTACTACCGACATTTTTTTTCCAGTTAAGGGCCTAACATTATTGGCTCTTATTATATTTATATATTGTATATAGATTAATGAGTATATTAAGAATAATAAATAGTTAACAGAATATTCTGTTACTAAAGTTTATACTAACGGAATTTAGGGTTATTTAAGGGAATAAAATAATATAATAGATGGTATATAAGGAAAATCATTAAAAGATACTAAAATCAAAATAATATGAAGCATTCATTTTAAGAAATAAGTACAGATTTTTTTTTTGTTCCAGTTAAGGCCTAACATTATTGGCTCTTATTAGTTTTGTATGTAGATTAATGAGTATATTAACAATAATAAATAGTTAACAGAATATTTCGTTACTAAAGTTTATACTAACAGAATTTAGAGTTATTTAAGGGAAGAAAATAATATAATAGATGGTAAATAAGAAAAATCATTAAAAGATACTAAAATCAAAATAATATGAACCATTCATTTTAAGAAACAACTACTATTGACATTTGTTTTTGTTCCAGTTAAGAGCCTAACATTATTGGCTCTTATTAGATTTGTAGATTTGTAGATTAATGAGTATATTAAGAATAATAAATAGTGGTTGTTACCGCCTGAGGGAAAGCCGATAAGGTCGAATGTGGTACAGGCTGGTGGAGGGGATACGGCGGTGCTGGCAGACCGTGGGGTGGGGGGGAGTGACTGATGATGTTGTTATGACTCAAACGGAAGATGAATTGGAGGAGGGTGTACTAGCTTCTTCCAAACGTCGCCGTGCGGTTGAGGATGGGGATAGTAGTGAGGTGGCACCGAATAATGGAGAGGCAACTGACAATGATGTGTCAAAAAACTTGTTTGTGGCGGGTCTTGGCTCTTAGACCCGCCAGATCCAATGAGTACTCTAAGTTGGAACTGTCGTGGATTGGGCGACCCACGTACAGTTCACGAGATAGTGGACACGGCGTCCCGCAACATGCCTGATTTTATTTACCTCATGGAAACAAAGGTGGATCAAAGTCATGCAGAGCATATTCATGTTACACTAGGGTTTGATGGATTGTTCTATGTTGATCCGGTTGGTCTAAGTGGTGGTTTAGCTTTATTATGGAGGAAGAATAACACGGCAAGACTTATCAAATATTCAAAGAATCATATTGATGTGGAAGTGAGTATGATGGGTTTCCCTAAGTGGAGGATGACATGTTATTATGGCTATCCACAACGGCATAGGCGCACTGAAGCGTGGGATTTCATTAAATCAGTGGCACCCCAGTCTGATCTGCTATGGGTTATGATGGGGGATTTTAATGATCTCTTATTCCACTATGAGAAGAGATGTGGAAATCTACACCCGGATAGACTGCTTACGGGGATTTGGGGAGACTATTGAGTATTGCGGCTTATCTCAGTTACCAATGAATGGGTATTAGTTTACCTGGGAAAAGGGAAAGGGCACATCTCGGTGGATTGAGGAAAAGTTGGACAAAGTATTAGCTACCGATGCATGGCGTGATATTGTCACTAGAGCTAGGGTGACTAATATCCTAATGAGAAGGTCTGATCATTTTGCCCTCTTTGTGGGAATACACGACCCTATGGGGAGGGGGAGATTACAGAGAAAGTTCCGTTTTGAAATGGCCTGGCTGCATGATGAGGGGTGCAGGACTGTGGTGGAGGAGTCTTGGGGAGAAGGGAAGAACGGTGGTTTGCAGTAGTGTATTGTGCATTGTGGTGACCGGTTAGCTCGCTTTGTGGGGGGGGGGGGGGGGGGGGGGGGGGGGGGTGATCGGTATCATAAGTTTGGTGAGCGAATAGAGCAGCTTCGCAAGGAACAGTTATATCTGAAAGGGCACACGGATCCAGTATCATTAGCTGAGTTCCACCGCCTGGAGGAGGCTCTATGCCGAGTTGAGGCCCAAGAAGATGCATACTGGAAACAGAGAGCCAAACAGCACTGGTTAAAGGGTGCCGACGGCAATACGAAATTCTATCACAAGTACGCCTCTAATCGCAAAAGGAAAAATAATTTATCTAAAATTATGAATGATGATGGGGACTGGGTGGAAGGTAATGGTATGAGAAAGATTGTCCAGGATTATTTTGCAAATATCTTCTGTACTAGTAATCCTGCTAGTGGTGCTGAATTATTTGAAAAGGTTATGCCCAAAGTTACACCTTTACAAAACGAATTGCTTCTACAACCTTTTAGTGTGGATGAGGTTAGGGAAGCTCTTATTGCAATGTTCCCAGATAAAGCGCCAGGGCCGGATGGAATGAATCCAGGATTTTACCAGCATTTTTGGGATGTGGTAGGCGTGGATCTCTCGGAATTTATTGTTGATTGTCTGAATGCCCGAAATTTCCCTGCTACAATGAAACGAATGTTGTATTGATCCCAAAGAAATGTACGCCTAAGCGGGTCACGGATTTGAGACCAATAGCCCTGAGTAACGTGGTTTATAGAATAATGGCTAAAATGATTACACAAAAGATGAAGCCTCTGATGGAGAGTGTTATATCTGAGTCACAGAGTGCGTTTATACCTGATAGGCTCATCACTGATAATATCTTGATAGCAGCGGAGGTTGGTCATTATCTGAGTAGGAAGCAGTGTGGGGTGGTAGGATGGGGAGCTCTCAAGTTGGATATGGCAAAGGCCTATGATCGTATGGAGTGGCCATTTTTACAAGGAATGTTAAAGGCCTTGGGCTTTGATGAGAGATGGATAGAGCTTATAATGTTATGTGTGACTACTGTGTCATACAGGATCTTGGTAAGTGGTTCCCCCAGTGAACCGATCATACCTACCCGGGGACTCAGGCAAGGTGACCCATTGTCTCCCTATCTATTTATTATATGTGCGGAAGGGCTATCTGTTTTGTTACAGCAGGCATAGGATGATGGTTTAATACATGGCTGCAGAGTTGCGCGTGGCACACCCCCAATTTCCCATTTATTTTTTGCTGATGATAGCCTGTTATTTTTAAAGGCAAACCCACAGGAGGCTACTCAGGTGAAGAGTTGCTTGGCAACTTATGAGAGATTGTCTGGACAAATGGTGAATTACCACAAATCTAGTATCTGTTATAGTAAGAACACAAGTCAGGAATATAAGGATGTGGTGGCGCATATTTTAGGGGTAGACCAGGCTCCTAATTTTGGCAAATACTTGGGATTGCCACCGTTTGTGGGGAGGAATAAGAAGGCAGCCTTTGCATATATTGAAGACAAAATCTGACAGAGAATTGGGTCGTGGAGCAAGAAATTTCTCTCACAGGCAGGAAAGGAAGTCTTGTTGAAAAGTGTGGCTCAAGCTATGCCAACTTTTTCAATGAGTGTCTTTTTGTTGCCTGTGTGCACAACAATTGAACGGGTTATGAATCACTACTGGTGGGGCTCAGGGACTGACCGTAGTATTCACTGTAAGGCATGGGATAAATTGTGTATTCCTACACAGTATGGAGGCCTGGGTTTCAAAGATCTGAAGGCATTTAATTTGGCAATGTTGGGTAAACAGGCATGGAGATTGTTGACCAACACTGACTCACTTGTCTCTCGAGTATACAAAGCTAGATATTATCCTAAAAGTTCATTTTATGAAGCAGAGATTGGAAATAATCCAGGTTATTGCTGGCGGAGTATTATGGCTGCTAAAGCATTGATAACAAATGGAGTAAGACATCGTATTGGGGATGGAAAGTCTACCTTAATATGGGAACATCCCTGGCTTCAGGATGAGCTGGAACCAAGGATCCAAACGGAAATGCCACCTCAGCTAGCTGGTGCAAAGGTTGTGGGATTAATTGATCAAAATACTGGTACATGGGATCCTCACATTTTAACAGACATTTTCCACCCAAATGATATACCAAGAATTATAAACATCCCGGTCTCACCAGGATATGAGGATATATGGTATTGGTACGAGGACCCAAATGGATGCTACTCAGTAAAGAATGGATACAGGCAAATGGTGGGAACTTATGAGAATAATACTGGTTTTGATAAGTGGCGAACCTTATGGAATTTGAAAATCCCCCCTAAATGGAAGACATTTCTATGGAGAGCTATAGGTGACATTCTCCCTACTACCACCAATTTGCTTATAAAGAGGGTGGATGTTAGCCCAATTTGTGCCATGTGTGGAGTTATGAATGAGAACACAATGCATGCCCTAGTGTTGTGTGACTATGCTAGGTCCATTTGGGATCAATCTAACCTTCCACTCCCCCATATTGTAAAGAATATTTTTCAGGAATGGTTTAGAATAGATGCTAATGGGATATTGTTTGCAGTTGGAATATTATACAATATTTGGAGAGCCCGGAACGATGCCGTTTGGAATGCATGTCTGCCAAGACCAAAGAAGATTATCGCGACGGCCATAGCCTCCGTGCATGCGTGGCAGCGTGTGAGTTCGGCCGCCCCTTCACAGCCGACCGGCCTCACGATTACCGTCCAGGTGCCACCAACGGCAGAACACCAGGCTGCCCTCACTGCCCAAATGCAACCGGCGCTGCCACCTTCTCCCATTGCCGCGACTGGAACGGAAGCAGTGCCGCAGATGCGGTGTTTTGTCGACGCAGGGTTTCGGCCTCTCTTGAAGACCGCCACAGTTGGAGCAGTGCTATTCGATGCGTATGGTGGATACGTCTCAGCCTATGCCGCGCCCTTACAAGCCTGTCTTTCACCACTTATGGCCGAGGCGCGTGCGTGCAAGGAAGTTTTATCATGGCTCAGGGCACGTGGCGAAGTGTCAGTTGAGTTATTCACGGATTGCCAAACTCTTCAGGCATATTTGACTACTTCGGCAATCCAATCTAGATTCTACCTTGGTTATGTCCTCGATGACTGTAGGTCTACTATGACTATGTTTACATTTTGCTCAGTTAATTTTATTCCTAGATCGCAGAATTATTTAGCGTATATGTTAGCCGCTGAGGCCTTTAATCACGATATGACTATGTACTGGGATGATATCCCACCTGACTCAATTTTGAGTTACTTATAAATATAACCACATTGGTTGTTTTTGAAAAAAATAATAATAATAATAATAAATAGTTAACAGAATATTCTGTTACTAAAGTTTATACTAACAAAATTTAAAGTTATTTAAGGGAAGAAAATAATATAATCTATATATCTATATCTATATCTATATATCTATATATCTATATATATATATATATATATATATATAAAAGTAAAATCCTCCTAACAAATTTTCCCCCCAAAACTTTTGTAGTAAAACTTATTTGGTAAGTAAATGTCAAATGGAAATTAAATAAATAAATAATAATAATAATAATAATAATAATAATAATAATAATAATAATAATAATAATAATAATAATAATAATAATAATAATAACAACAACGTTATTACCTTAAATAAATAAATTATTATACTTTCCCTTAAATAAATAAATTATTATACTTTCCTTTTAAATTAGTATTTTCTACCTATAAATACAAGAGCTTCTTCAATCAAAGAATCTCAGACTCATCTTTCTGTTTTCTTTTTGTATGAATTTTTTACATTTTTCTAACTATATTCTCACGTACTTCAATATGTTTTGCAGTTTGGAAATCATGAATAGCTTCATCAACGATATCTTCTTGACGCTCGCCCAAGAGGTGACTCGCTTAGCCCACTACAACAAGAAGCCGATAATCACTTCCCGCGAGATCTAGGCCGCCATGAGATTGGTTCTTCCTGGCGAATTGGTAAAGCACGTTGTCTCTCTAAAAACACTAAAGCAGTCACCATATTTACAAGCTCTTAGATGAAATCATTTAAATCTATGTTTCCTTTTTATATAATCTCAATTAGGGATTAATAGATGTAAAGTAACTTGGATTTGAGTTTAATTTCATATTATTCTTCCAAAAGGTTTAATTTCATATTATTCTTCCAAAAGGTTTAATTTCATATTATAAGTATTGTTATCTACCTTCAACTATCAATGAATCGATTAGCATTCTCAAAAAAAAAAAAAAATAATTGAATGTCTATATCTACGTGCATTTAAGATGCAACGTGTGTATGATTCATTAGGCTTTGAGGCAGGAGAACACATCTGGGTACATTGCATATTAGTGGATCTGTATCTCATTGCAAAAAAATATCCATACAATTAATTAATTAATATAATTACAATTATCATTATTCTAATTAAAAAAGAAACTAAAGAATTAATTGTAATAATGAAATTTGTTATTAATATTCTGTTACTAATTGACACAGAAATCAGACTAAAAGAAAAACGAAATTAATATTAAAAATGGACTCGAATTAAAAAAATGTGCTTAATAAGTAAATAACTAATTTGCTAGACAGAAAATTAGGGTAAAGGAAAAAGAAAATGATTATTAAACATTGTACCAGATTGCTTTTATGATTGAAAATGAATATTACAAACGTACCAGATTGTTTTTTATGACCAGAAATAAGAATGAATTTTACACACTAGAATCTATTATAAATATTCTGTTATACTAATAGGCATGGGAATCATGTTAAATGAAAAAAGGATTTAATATTAAAAATTTATTGGAAATATAACACAGTTTTCCCTACGAAAAAATTAGTAACCACCAAATGAAATATTAGGAAAAAATTATGATGAAAAAAGAAATGGAAACAAATATTAACTCTTTCTATGAATGAAAAAAGGAAATGAATATATCCATATTTCACTTAAAATATAATCAGTAATTATATTATTATAATTATATTAATTATTTATGAAGAAAAAAGGAAATGAATATGAAAGGAAAAAAATAAAATTTAGACACGAAAATCTATTATTAATATTCTGTTATACTAATAGACACGGGAATTAGGCCAAATGAAAAAGATTTAATATTAAAAATTTATTGAAAATATAACACCGCTTTCCCTACGAAAAAATTAGTAACCACCACGTGAAATATTAGAAAAAATTATGTGAGAAAAAGAAATGAAAATGAATATTAACTCTTTCTATGAGTGAAAAAGGAAATGAATATATTCATATTTCACTTAAAATATAATCAGTAATTATATGATTATAATTATTATACTTATATTAATTATTTATGAAGGAAAAATGAAATGAATATATTAATATTTTATTAAAAATATAATCAGTAATTATATTTTTATAATTATATTATTTTTTAATCAGAAAGGAAATGAATATTTCACACAGAAATCCGTTATTAATATCCTAACCGACATGAAAATCAGGCAAATTAATCGACAATTATTAGGAAAAATGAATATAAATCAATATTAATTCTTTTTATGAAGGAAAAAAAAAAAGAAATGAATATATTCAAAAGGAAATGAAATATTAAGAAAAACGAATGAATATGTTTATATTTTACTGAAGATTGTGAAGATGCGATCGAGGATATAACGATGGTAAATTTGATAATTTTGTAAGATTTTATTAAACTTAGAGTTAGTATGTTGACTCCGAGATTTGTACATGTTATATCAAGTTTACCAGTATGTAATATATACAGATCAAAGACAACATGCGTCCAATACTGTTTACAATCAAGAAAATGTAATTTTCTTTAAAAAGAATAAGCAAGGTCTCTAACTTGCATACAATCTTACAAAGCTAACAGATGTGATTCACTCAGCAGAATATCTACTAATCAACTGAATTACAAAAAATGCACATATCATATTTATATGAAAAAAAATATTGTAGCTCCCAAACATTGTTCTATGTGTTCAAACTGTAATGCTCCTCATATTTCAGACTATCTATTATCAAGCCACGTGATGATGATGATAAGAGCATTACCTTTTTAGCCCAATCAACCAATGCTTCTTTGACCTTTTCAATTGAGAGTGACTTTCCCGTCTCTGGACACCCAGAAACATACAAACTTCCAGCCTTCCCCTGCTCAACACATTGCTTGCAAAATTCCAGAGCACGATTTTGCTCAGCATCTCAACACATTATGGTTGATGGAGCAGTAGATACATGCAATGCCTCCTTCACAACATTTAATTGCTCGGGATCTATTTTTACAAAATATAAAAATAGTAAATCACACATCACTAGAGAGCTACAGTGATATTATATCCTCCAGAACACATAACTAAACAAAATTCAAACTAAAATTTTTTAAAAAAAACCCTGTATACGCAGATTCGGTTCCGATTCTTCTATAACGAATGGTCTGGTTTCTTCAACTCCTCTGTCGGTGGAAATGTCTCCGGCGAAATTGAAG